AGCTTTGAGCTTAATTACAAACAAACAAAATAACTATTAGGGACATCCAAGTAAAGCTACAAATAAATCAAATTAAAGCCTACACACATCCCCGTCCCACCAAACATTCTCGCCCTTTCAGCCGTGGGGGCGTTTTAATGTGACGGTCAATCCCACTATTCGTTAGTAAAAGAGTAGCCCAAGAGTTGGCGGCGGGTGTGATGACTAGCTGCCTTCCCTCTAGTCTTACACTGCTAAATTAGGGACGGCTAGCGCAGATAGTCTTCGTGTAGCTTTGCGCGAAATTCAAAACAAACAAGCCTACATACACACACACACACACACATATATATATGTATATATACATACATACATACATATATATATATGTAGACAAATAAATATAATATATATAAGAATATTCATGCAGAAATGTGTCATTGAGTGCTAATACTGTATAAATTTGTCTGCAATGTTAATGGGCATAACATATGAAAAGCACTTCATGCTATTATGAAACGTTATCTTCCAGCGACCGAGGGCAATTATTCCATTGTAACGATAATCAGATGATCGTAGCATGTTATGAATAGAGTCATTCTGCCGTAAAATGAATTGACTGGCATCGTGAATTTATCAGGGTAGTCATTTCCTCGTTCTACATCAGGTTGTTATTAATATCATTTGAATATTGTCCTCTTCCTTATAAGTTAACTACAGTAAAGCTAGAACTTAGCCACTTTTCAGGTTTCTTTGTAAGTTCTGTATCGATGTAATTCAATAGAGTTTCGCATTTCCATCTGACTTTATGTGTCATTGATATCTTTGTTGTAACGTAATGACGTCAACAATAACGAACATGTAAATTACATATATTCAATTTATTGAAATAGCGCTATCTTTTCTTTATTTAAAGAGTTTCTACAGGTGAATGCTACAATCGGAAATAGAATTAACAACCTGAAAAGGCACCTTACGCTCACGTGGTCTAAATGAACAAGTAGGCAACAAGTCAGAAGCAAATGATTTGTTTTGTTAGTTTATTTGGAATTAAGCACAAAGCTACACAATGGAATATCTGTGGTCTGCCACCACAGGTATCGAAACCCGGTTTCTAGTGTTGTAATGCCACTGGCTGTTTGAACGGTATAGCGGGTTTGGCTGTCACTTTTATAACATGCCAACAGTTGAAAGTGCGGAATATGTCACGACACCAGCCTCGGGGCCTTTCATAAGAAGCCCGACACATTGGATGTTTGGCTACGCCGCGACCTAACTACCATCCGATGAGACAAACAAATAAAAAAATGTTTGTTTAGTTGTTTAGATATATCTGGACATAGTGCTAGTTAACAATGAAATCAGGGGCATGTGATTTAGTAATGTTGAACTACAACAGAAGAACGCAGACTAGATGAGGATGGACCTGTGAATACACTTGTGACTATGTGAGTTTAACATTCATATCTTACAAATTAAGGTCAGTGATTTAATTAATCAATAACATTACACTAACATGAATGGTAGTTCAATACATCACATTTTTTGTTGCACCCAGTCATACACGTACATAAACTAAAGCAGTGAAAACATGGCCTTCTTTGACAGGTTAGGCCAAAAAATAATTTACCCCTAGAACTAACGACGGTGATGTACACCATTGACATTTTAGATAAGTATTTGTAAACTATTTATGCGGCAAATTGTCTGTGGATCAATGACTTCGTTAGTTTTAGGATCTCTAACAACACCAAAAGTCACAAACAATTTACAGAAATTTTTTGTCCAGATTGTAATTCACTCCACTGCTGGAAGATGAGTGATTTCGTCCAATTTATTTTTGTCAGGACTGGCGAAACAACAAATTACTTTAATATGTGTATCCTACCGGTAGTGAACAGTGTGTCAATATGTCGGTCATTTGAGAACAGTTTGTTAGCGTAAAAAATTGTCTTCATAAAAAAAAACAGATCGTGCCTATTCAGCTTCCTATTTATTACACGTTGCCTCATGCTTTCATAAGTTTGGAGCTATTAGCAACATGGGGTACAGCGAAACAATATAAATAAGATACAAATATCAAGATCTTCCATTAAGTGGGACTTTGAAAATATTTAGCCTTTTTTATAACAAGAAACAGAACAGAACTGAGCACTTACCATTATTTTTTGCTTCACAGACACTGAGCTCATGTGGTTGTTTAGTTTTTTTACCAAAGCGATGGTTTCTTTATCATCAAGCGTTCCTTTTCCATCTCTGTTTGACTGGTGAAAAGCTGAATGGAGCCATCTGGTTTGTATAAAATATAAATAATTTCACAGACTTAACAGGTACTTGTCACATAATCGGAATTGTGATAGTACTAGATTTAAAACAACCCATAATCTTCTTATGAAAGCAAAATAATGGCGAGGACATGATTATAAAATCGGAATATCTGTAACCATGATATATAGTAGCAACCATTATATTGATTGAGGTTATCTTATATCTGTAACCATGATATATAGTAGCAACCATTATATTGATTGAAGTTATCTTATATCTGTAACCATGATATATAGTAGCAACCATTATATTGAAGATATCATGGTTACAGATATAAGATAAATAGTAGCAACCATTATATTGAAGTTATCTTATATCTGTAACCATGATATATAGTAGCAACCATTATATTGAAGTTATCTTATATCTGTAACCATGATATATAGTAGCAACCATTATATTGAAGTTATCTTATTTTTCTGCTATATTTATAGGAATGTTCGTTACATTTTACTGTTTCTACATTCCAAAAGAAAGATCTTTAAGTGTCCTCGACAGGCGATGATACGCTAACCTAATCGATAGTTGAAGATTTTTGCCGAGTCACTCGAAGGTCACAGAATCAACTTGTTCATACAAGTGACTTAAGAATAAAGAGTTTAGCGTTTGCGGTCCAGGAAACATGTGGTTCCGTTACCATTTGACACACGAAACAAGTAATTATTATTATTATTTCTATTTTGTAAACACTTATATAATCAAAAACACCTTAGGTGTGAAAAAAAGGTGCGGCCACAAAAGGATTCAGTGTGCGACTCAAAGGAATGAAATCAAAATTGGATATCAAACCGGTAGCTACACTTATAGCATTGATAAGAATTTTACAGCAAATATTCATTCATTAGTTAACCTGGACGCATTTTTTGTTCAACTTTGGGCATGATGGTGAGTAAAATAAAATACACGTATTTTTTATTTCGTAACAAGTTTTCGACTGTCTTAGGGCTAGTCATCTTCAGGCTTAACTGAGTAATTTTCATTATTTGAACTACGCAGACGTAGAAGAAATGAAAAGAATACATTAACGTAATATAATAATATTGATCTCTAAGAGCTGTTGCTAGTACCAAGATAGCTACAAATGTTGATTACATTTGTTTCAATTATATAGTTGAGCAACATCACAATGCAGAAAGGATCCGAAACAAAATCTTAAAAAGTGTAAAGAGCGAAGTGTAAACGTTTTTTGTTTTCAAAATACTTAAAAAGACTATTATAGCAGGCGTGGTTTAAGATTTAAAAAAATGCGATCGAATTAACAACTGGCATAGAAGACTCATTAAATGCTAGATGTCCCACTAAAAATAATCAGCCTGACCACGTTTTCTCGTCGATATTTTACGATTCTGAAATAGGGTAAAAAATTTGCATAGAATGTTAGGAAAATACAACATCAAAACAGAACTTAAAACTTCTAAAACCTTTAGGAAACTTGTATCACATGTAAAATCCATCAAAATCTTTGAACTTAGTGATGTTATTCATGCTGTAGCCCGTTGCTGTGACTTACAACAAACCAAAAGACTACTTACTGCCAGAAACAAAGGACTTTACATATGGAAGAATCTATTTAATAAGCATGATCAAACAGTTTTTTGTTGTTGTTCTTGAATTCGAAGGCTACCTGCGCTATCTGTCTTTAATTTAGAAGTATACACTAGAGGCTAAGCAGCTAGTTAACATCGCCCACCGTCAACTCTTGAACCACTCTAATCAAGTAGTGGGAATGACTGCCACATTACAACACCCCTTTAGTTGAAAGGGCGAGCATGTAAAGGATTCGAGCCCGTGAACGGTAGATTGTGATTAAAACCCATAGTCGCAATAATGATAGTAAAATGATATGGGAAAACCTAGGGGGGTTGGTCAGTAAGGGCGATTTCCATAAACTGTCATTAAAGAGTCCATTTTTACTCCAATATTTGGGCACCAGTTCTGTTGGGGGCTTAAACAGGGATGAATAACGTGTCAAAATTACCTATATGGTCATCACGAGAAAATCGTACAAATAGGACAATTAATAATTAAACATCTAATGGTCTTGTGATAAATATATTCATATATTTTTTGAGGAGGCAATAAATTTTTGAACTTGGAGATTTATTTAGAAGATCTTTTGCACCACTTTTTTTCTGTTATTTTAGTTTTTATCTCAATTCTACTTCTGAACTGTCTATAAAACAATTATGAACATTAATTTTCGTTATAGTGTGAACACCTTTACTATTAAACTCTCTTCTAGCAAAAAAACCGTATGGGGTGAAATAAATATTGTGGTGTTAAAGGCCTATTGTCTTATGACAAATATAATTAATTATTAGGTATTGTATATTAAGACATAGGAACAAGGTTTTCTTCCCCATTGTTTTTCTCAGTCTAATTCATCAACTTGCTACAGAAAGCCTGCTAATGTGTCTTAACACACACACACAGATATACATATATATATATTGGCCACGTCACGAAACTATAAGGTGATTATAAAGACAATTTCGCAGTTTAGTGCGTCATATCTCACAAAACTTGCAGCATAGGTAGGTGAAATTACAGAATGGTGTTAAGGGTATCATACGAATGCAAAGGCCACAATTGTCACGTGTTGCCGCCAGGGACGCCACTGAGACTTCGCATATTTCTCACGGGTATAAGTAGATCTGTCGATCGCAGTGCAGCTCATTCAACCAATATCAGGTTAAAAAAGTGTACAGACAGGTGAACTAGTGGAACGTTATTACACTAAAGGATGCAATGGAAAACCAGCTCTCTGGAATATCGTGAAGAGCATAACATCAGCTGAAGACTTTGTTCCATTGTTGCTGTATACAAGTTCAAACACACACACACACAAATTGAAGTGACAAGTTGCACTTTTGAAAAGCCAGTCCGACCACCGACACCTATTGCAACTATAGCTGAGGTCAGTCATGTCGTAGCTGAACAAGTCGGTATAAATGCACATTGTTGCATGTCATGTCACCTGCCGGTGTCTGGATTTGCCAATTTTAACTGTTTGTAAGGCTTTTCGGTCAACTTTGTGAATGTCTATTTAAAAGCTACATTATGTTCAAGCACAGGAGAAAACGGGGTTAGTGGTCAAGCACTGAAAGCGGCGGAGTTAATCCAACGTGTTGTCTTTTGCATTGCAGTTCTTGGCAAGATTGAAAGTCGATGACCAATGGCCTGCCAATATCTTATGGACTGATGAAACACACTGCGTTCTTTGTGGAAGAACCGACACGCCCAACTGAATTATCTGGTCGAAAACTAAACTGCATGTAACATTTCCTATACACCTCAATGATGCTGAGGTGAAAGTGTGGTGTGATTTCACAGACAGCTTTGATATTAGACCGTACTATCTGAAGGATCATTAGTACCTGTGACTGCAGTCCTGCACAGTCAGTCCTGCATGACACCATCCAGTTCTTACAACCAATGTAATTTCCATGCTGCAACAACAAAATGTAACAGACACGCAACGTGGTGACCCTCCACATATTGGTAAACAGGTGAAACAACGTGGTGACCCTCCACATATTGGTAAACAGGTGAAACAACGTGGTGACCCTCCACTATATTGGTAAACAGGTGAAACAACGTA